CACAGTAAAGACGTTTACTGTACTGTAAATCTTTCTACGACAGACCAACGGACCACGAGTGCCCCTGTCGGTCAACCAATCACGTACCGCGGTACCCCGCGTCATCTTGCGTCATGATGCGCGACGCCGCAGCCAATTACCTCCGGTACGTGTCTGTACCGCTCACTTTGAATGGCTGCATCTGTAGAATTACACTGTAGCTCTTGTGTTCTCTCAGGTATTGGCGCATGCTGTATCGTAGTACGTATTTGACACAAACTAATTTTATTAAAATAGAAAATATGAAAACCTGTCCCAATATTTCCCTGCACACAAGAAATTTCCAGAAGTGGTACACATACCATAGTTTGAGAATCACTAATCTAGAGCTTTAACATGATTTAGACACATAAGAGGAAATTGGAATGACTGGGTAAAAGCATTTGGAACAAAGTCATGACAATGCATACCTCACAGAGGACCAGCAAAGTGCTACAATACAGCAGCCCACTGATATTATTCTTGTTTTTCAGGGTTTTAGTACTGACCTGTGTTGAGATAACTCTTCACTCAGGTTAGGTGTGGTTCAGCAGAGTCCTTTATTCATGCGCATGGAAAGGAAACAACCATACAGATAGGAGAGCAGCCTCTGAATGATGATGTGAAAGATAATGGGTTTTATACAGCAGGTTTGTGGTAGCATAGCATAAAGTTCCGTATAAGGAATTGTTCTTCTCATACAAATACTGCTTTGTAACTGACCGCTTTCATTTTCATTTCAAGAAATAAAACTTTAATTTGGTCCGAAGAAAGTATATAAACAGAAAGTGCGAAGTACAGCTAAACATTTTGTGGTTATAGCATAAGCATCAGCAGATCAAATGATGTGTCTGCAATTTATTGTTTCTTACTGTCACTAGACAGAAAAGGTATGTTAGCAAGAACAAATAGTTATAATCTTGTACACTTAAAAGGTAAATGCTAAAATTCTTTCTCACAACAAAGTGGAAATTTTAAAAATAAAATGACATTTTCAGGTGCAAGGAGTGTGTTACTTTGGCTGATAACTCAGGCTTTCTAAAGTTTTGTGCAGGTACAAGGAGTTTATGATGTGAAATACTATGCACAGAAAACCAAAAATCTCATGGTATTGCTATGTACAAACTTTTATCCAGCAACATGCATTAGTTTAGTGCTGTATAAAGAGACAGTCACTGTTACTGATTTTGGGGATTTGCATTGATTTCTTCAGAAAGTGATCACAATAAAAATCAGCCTCTGGTATAAAGAGTGTCTCACATACTGTTTCCTGCTCTTTGCTGCTTGTGGTTCTACTTCATCACTCACAAGGAACAGTCCCTGCTGCTATGTTACTCAGAGCTGCTGCTAATATTTCACCAGCACGTGAAATGTCCTGCAGCTTCAGCATGATTTATCAAAGTTATTAGTACTTTGTAATAAGGGTGTCCTGGAACCTTGATATTTTGTCCTGAGTTTGCAACAAAAACTAAAGGTACATGCACGCATTTTATTTAGACATGCAAGAAAATAATTAAATGTGAGATGTCAAAGTATACAGATCCAGCCATTCAAAATGTCCAAAGTAAGCCATTTTAAAACGCGGTAGGCGTGGCGCATCATACATACCACGTTATGATATTAGTATCCGGAAACACCTTGTAAAACCATCAGGTGGAGCTAATAAAGTTTAACATCTCATGTACAGCATTTGAGCTGTCACCAGAAAATGCCTGGTTTTGAATCATGGTCACTTTTGAGAGACAATCTCTTTCCAATTAAGAATTTTAAGTTTTATATTCTTTAGACTTTTAATAATTTTAAACTGTGTATTACAGCATGTTAATCATTAAACATTAAAAAGTCGGTATATTTTATAAAACCAAGATTGTTCAGTTGGACAAAAATACAGAACCTTCCACCTTCATCATAAATATTTAAATTATGCAGAAATATTTTATGCATCAAAGTCTTTATGGAAGATATTACTAATAGTATTAATAATGAATGACCTTGGACAGACTGTAAGCTCAAAGTATTACCATAGTCCACTTTCTTTGTAACCGTCTGCATCAGTTTAACTATTGCGACACGAAAATACTTTATTTTTTCATTGACAAAAAGTAACACTACACTCTCTTGTTTAAACGGATTGTTTTGTTGCTGCACAGGCTGTTAAACCAGAGGAAAAGAGCGCCTATTTCTTCGAAGCATTTCACTGATCCAATCACGTATTCGTTTCTAATCATACAAAGTAAGTTTTCAGAATCTCCGATTCACCATGCCTATAATGGTTTCCTGGAGATTGCTCATAAACTATATGAATTTAAGAACATGAACATTATGTAAACTGTATATGGCTGGTTTTAAAAAAAAATACTACCAATAGTCCACTTTCTTCCTAAACATTTTAAGCATCAAAGTCTTTCATTAAAAAGCCAGCAGCCATATCATCCTGCAACTCACAACTGGCAACCCACTGAAGCTAAGCAGGTGTGAACCTGGTCAGTACCTGGTCAGTACCTGGATGGGAGATCTCCTGGGAAAAACTAAGGTTGCTGCTGGAAGAGGTGTTAGTGGGGCCAGCAGGGGGTGCTCACCCTGTGGCTCATGTGGGTCCTAATGCCCCAGT